ACTTGAACATCCAAAAATAAAAATGACGTAAAATTACATACGATTTCAGTCGCGCGTGTATTATGACTGACTAGTTTTGGACCCGAACGGGGACCTCTGTCAAGGTGTGACGCGGCCTTCCATGTCGGTGTTATAAATATGAATGCAACTTATTTTTAAATATGTTTAGCCTGCGGCGTCCTTTTCTCTAGAATCAAACTACCTTCATGCCAAATTTCATCTAAATCGGTTCAGCGATTTTAGCGTGAAGAGGTGACAGACAGACAGACACACTTTCGCATTTATAATATTAGTGTGAATATGGATACAACATGAATTAGACTTTCGAAGATCTTGGACTTTTTTGGTCAATTAGCCAGGAAAAAGGTGACAACCTCAAAGGGTTCCTGATAACAGCAAAAATGTAGGGAAAGCGGCAAAGAGTACAGAGGACCTATGCATTGGACAGATCAGATCAGCCACATGTGGTGAAGGGGTCTGAAAAGCTATACGTACTGCTGAGGACCGTGATGAGTAGAAAGTCATCGTGCGAGGAACGATTTGTAGAGGTCACGATCCTCAACACTGAAGGGAGTGATAGGAGAAGGAAGACACCATGAATACCAGGCTAAAAGGTTTTATTCCAAAACAGATAGTTGACACAGTTAGTTGGTTGGATACTTGGACATCTTTAATACTAGAACATTAAGTTGATACCGGCTTATGGCAACTTATAAGTCGTAAGTAGCAAGACTGGTGTGAATACCCATTACGTAAATAGATTGTAAAATTTGCATTATCACGCAATATTCACATTTGCGTTGACATATACACAACTTATGATTAAATTGTCGTTATTTACCAATTATATAATAGTAATAAACTTTTTTGTTGTAGTTATTCTAATTATACTGTTATTCTTTCTTAACTTTTTAATCAATCATTTTGAAATTTGGTACATTCTTTGTCAGAGGTACAAATATGTGTAGATTTCATGTAGAAATAGGTATTTCTGTTGAGGTATACCTGAATTAATTAATTAAATACACATTAAAGTAAACAAATCTGCAAGTAAATACTAACCGCAACTAGTAAAAGTAAGTAATTTAATAAAGGATGTTGATGATGAAGAAGGGGGCGCCGGAATTCTCAGATATTTTTATGTATACATTTGCCTTTGTCAACAATTGTATGATGTATTTAAAAAAATGGTTACTAAGATTGGCTCTGTGTAATTTTATAATCCCACCAAGTCGACGACACTTTTCCTTAATGTTAATTTTAAATTATTTGTTATCGAAGTCAAAAAAACTGTATAAGTAGGTCTATGAAAATGTTAATTGAATAAAGTATAAATGTATAGGTAACCATGAGACCTAACTAACCTTAATTTTATTCTAAAACAGTATTAACCCTTTTGACAGTTTTCTTCTAAACCTTTTGACTATTTACACTTCTTTTCTCAATGGTCTCTTTCTCTCTGTTTCACTGCATACTAAATATCGGTAACTTTAGGTAATTTAAACAGCGTATTTCGAATTGAATAATATAACAACCATTTTTAATAATTTTTACATAAATATAACACTTTACAACCACTACATTTGTTTTTAATGTAATTGAGATGCCGATTCCTGTTTTGATGCAACAAAAAAAAGATGCATTGGTCTGTTAATTACTAAATAGAACTTATACAATAAATATTAACATATTTATAAAAAAATACTGTGTTGTCTATGTGTGTTTAGAGATTACAGTTCTAGATAATTGTGTATTATAACGTAAAATATTACATTTATAAAGTAAACTAGGTTATGTTTTAATAATGATTTTCCGGTTTTAAAATAAGCCTATGTGTTTTTCTACCTATCTTTGTGCTAAATTTTATCTTGATCTCTTTAGACGTTATTTAGACTCAATAACGTTTCGAATTCTAAATGAACAACTCCCAGTATAATTACAATTTTGTGGTCGATAACTCGTGGTTATTAAGGTTACATTTTTATCATTGACTTTAATTGTATTGTAAGCACTACAATGTAAGTGGAAATGCCTTGGGAAATGACAGTTTTATCTCCCCCACAAAGTAATCTACTCATTTAAACTTACCCAGGAATAATAAATAAATAAATAAGCGATAACATCTCAATTTAAATGTCTTGGCAACATTGACGTCACATGAAATTGATATCGGATCTTAAGCTACTACTTATAAGTTTAAAACAAACCATTTTAAGTTGATACATAGTAAAAAAAATATGTATTGTGTTAGTGAAACAGTGTGGAACGAAAGACAGCTCTTTGTATAATGGAGGTGTACGCAATTATTATGTCATTAGTAAATGTCAGGACGCCGCTTCAAGGCCACTGCGTGCAGAACACGTATGCACCTACCCACCCACAGGTGATATTATTTCTTCTAACTAATGGCCTATTAAAACACAAGTTGTGGCCTTAGCTGACCTGTTATTTTAATACAGGGCTTAAATTGGTTCACTAATCTACATGTAATTGTTTTCGTTTGAAATAAGCGTGTCAGCAGTTTATTTGTAATTTGTGTGCGTTAAAGAGACCAGGAGTGACAAAGGATACTTGAAACGAATTTGTAGTTTCGACGTGACTTGATTGTTTTTAATAAATGGACATGGGAGGAAGCAATAGGCATACGGCCTGTGAGGGAAGAGGAGATGACCCGTGTGCTTGTTTGTCCCACTATACCACAAAAATGATATCATGATGATAGCGATTGCTTTATTTATACTATCGTTTGTTGCTCTCTCCCAATTATATAAGAATAAGATAAATTACTTTGGTGTTTGTTTGGTAGTTGTTCCCTGCAGTTTCACCTTAATCATCATAACTGTCCTTTTAATACCTATATATAAAAAAATTAAAATTCTAAAAATTCTCTCATTTAATCGGAAAAAAACTATTGAAGTAGATTATTAATACTATCGTACTAGTATATTATACCTACTACTGTATATTAATTTAATAGATTACATGTAAATGTTAATGACAGACACTCGGTGAAGGGCCCAACACATGCGTACACTTCATAACTCATTGATGTTTATGACAAATGTCAACTGACTTTATTAAGACATTGAAAATATTACACGTTTTAGCGGCCTAAATATTTCAATCAGTAATTATTCATCTTAATTACGTATGTAAATATATAGCGCATTGGACACTAATGACACAAAGAGGAGTTTAAAACTTATTTTTATCGAAACCATTTAAGCGGTAAAATATTGTTTTAGTTTTTTTAATTATTGATAAACATCTAAGTCATATAAAGTAAAAGTCTAATGAATTATAAAATATATTACAAAAGGAAATAAAGTTGGTTTCTCACGTGTCCATACGATATTTAAAACACAAGTCTGTGAACATATTATAGGTGTGATTTTAGTTATTTCCACTAATTACCACTTACGTGAAGATGAATTTATTGTTTTAACAACTTTATTACTAGCAACACTAAAATGTTATTGTGTAAGACTCATAAACGTCGAATTTCAACAGAAAACTAAATATCGTTTATAAGGCAGAAACTCAAGCATATAATTTGTGGTCTTTCATTACTTCATATTTCTTACTACGTGAAATAACATAAGTGGTTGATGGATTATCCTCCCGAGGCATGCAGCCGTTTAGTGGTAATCTTTGTTTAATTTAATTTTAATAGTACCTCACGACAAGGTTAGTGCGGACGGTATCCTTTTTTTCGACAAACATTAAAGAAATAATTACTCGAAATTAAATAAGTAAATGTTTGGTTAATTTTTTTTTTCGTAGTAATACATATTTATATTTTACAACCAATGTGTCGAATAATACTAAATTACACGTTTAACATAATTAAATTCAACGAACGTAATCGAATTGTCAAAATTAAACACTGTCATGGCTGCCATTTTTCTTTATTAAAGTACGTATTAGACATTTTTAATGTCATTATTGACATGAAATATAGAAATTGTTCATAGAGCTATGAATAATGAATGAACGTACGATTTTATTTATTCAACATTGAATGTAGCTGTTAGTGACAATTTTATTACTGTTCCTGTCATGTCGTGACCGTATAAGTTATTGTCTGCCGGACTTGACCACGCGTAAGTTAGTTTCAAGTTATCTATAGCATGTTAAGGCTCTGCCTGAATGGGTTATAGGATTGTTTAAGTTGTTGTGTTCAGCAACACTAAATTATGGATATTATGGTAATCATCGTAATCAATGAATCATCAATCAATGAGTATACGTGAACCTGATAGTGAATGACTACTGTATTCAATGATACTTTCAACTTAAGGGTCACAAGTGCTTTGCAGCCCTTACTCTCCCCTTAGAATAAGGAATTGGATTGCTGGAGCATGAGAACCATGCGCATCTCCGTACACTCTCGATCAAGTCAAGTTTCAAATAAATCAAAATCGATATATCCCTTTAGCAGCTGGGTTCATCAGTCTAACAGACAGACCCACGGATACACAGAAAAAATAATATTGTTACTATAGGGCGTCCCCTTAAGTAATAAAGCATTTATGTTACCTTAAGAGCATAAAATTGTTAGAAATTAAATCGGTTTACATTTTCCAATGAATGCAATGCCAAGTTACTGTAAATATAATTAGACACAAAGCCAATATGGTATTAATTAGATAGGACTTGTGTAGAGACTTGTTTGTATTTTTTATTAGTGACGTAGAAAATAGGCTCTTAGGCAATATAACGTGGTTTGTGACACCTGTGGACGCCTGGAAAAAGGCTTATTCGTGAAAAAAAATAATTAAGAAAAAAAAAACCAGCTCATCTTTGAAGAAGTTTATATATCTATACCAAGTTTCTTATAAAATGTTGAGAAGTATGCTCCCTTTCCTCTATAAGAGTCGTTCTGGACTCTCGAATCCTGATCATGGAAGGGATTTTAGTTTAATTAGTGTCAAATATTTACCCCTTGCCGAAAACTGATCTTATTTTTTTTTCCTTTCTAATAATCATCTTTATTTCAGGACCTGACATCCCGGGTTTTCTTCTTCAACCGTTCCGCAAACCGAAGAGGATTCGGACGGCGTTCTCCCCCTCACAGCTGCTGAAGTTAGAGCATGCGTTCGAGAAGAATCATTACGTGGTAGGAGCTGAGAGGAAACAGCTCGCGCAGGCGTTGAGTTTGACGGAAACACAGGTTAGTTGATTTAAATATTGTACACCACAGATCACTATCAGTTAGTTTTCTTGGTGGCCAGTGTGTTGAACTGACATTATATGCACTTATGTAACATGTAAGGTAAACATATACTTGTTCGGAGAAACTTGATGTACGTAATTTTTTACTTGGTAACAAATTTTGTTACCTGCACTTATTCGATACAAAAACTTATTTTGTAAGAAGAGGCCTGTGTCCAACAGTGGGCTATTAAATGATGATTCGATACATAAACTTTAAGTATTTACTTGGATATATTTGTAAATTCTCTGTCTAGTTAAATTTTTAGAGCTCTCGTCGCGTACGTATAAATTACATTTTTGCAAATCATTTTTGAATACTTACGTTTTTTTATAACTTTTTATAACTTTATCTTTTATAAACAAATGAGTATTATTAATTGACATTTTAATAGAGGAATCTCATTTTAAAATTAACAAATTGAACTGACCAAATAATGTATGAAGGTTTTATTTCGAAGAGAGTGAAAAAATATATACGAAACTATTTGTTTTTTATACTAAGAATTGTTGGAATTTCTTGATTTTTCGTAAAAATTGACATGAATATTCATAATATGTGATTTAGAAATGACACATCCATTTAAAAAGCTCAGCTTTTATAATCTGACCACACTTTTTTGTGTGTTTTTAAATAAGAGATATAATTAAAAATTCACATAATATATTTATGAACTTAACTTTTTTAACTTATGAATAAAAATGTAGGATACAGTGAAATAACAACTGTAATCCTTTCATAACTAGGTTTAATTTAGTAGGTTGAGGTCTGTTGTACTAAAGGGTCAGTATCGCGTGTCCTAAAACACGTTCCCAAATATGACCATGGCATATCCATATTAAGATAGTCGCAAGTGTTTAGTTGTTGAAGTGTAAACGAGCAACTAAAAGTGGTTAGTGTGCCAAGGTACGAAGATAATGATTTTAACAATGGGATAGCTACCATCATCATCAGCCTATCGCAGTCCACTGCTGGATATGTCTGGGACAAGGACAGGCCTCTCCCATTGCACGCTACTTAGATTCCGCGACCTCACAGTAAGTCGGTGATAAGAAATTGTTTTGTTGCTTTTTACGAAAGGGGGAGGGGGAGAGCGTACTGTGAAAATTGTATGCAATAGAAACTGGAATTATTTTACCATAGTACGGGCTTTGGCTACTTCTCTACTTGGAGGGGGGGGGGGGGAGGGGGGCTTAACGCATTTGTGACTCGAGTTACAGGTGTATATGGACCAGGGGTTTTTTTTTGCAACTGAGTTTTAAACCGATTGTGATAAAACGATATATCTGCATTTTCCATCGCATATATCATGTAGAGTGCTCCGAGGAATTGTTCGGATTAATACCACAACCAATCTGTGGAACGGGTTATCGTCTGCGGTATTTTTGGACCGATACGACCTTCAAGACGACAGCATACTGCTTCCTAAAAAGCCGGCAACGCGTTCGTGACTCCTGCGTTGCAGACGAGCCGTCTGCTCGTCTGCAACTCAGGAGCAATCGTCTCATCTGCAATTATTTTATTTTTTGAAAATAAACTATTCACTTTTAAATTTATTTTATTAATAAGGATAGCTGTCTGACTGTCCTTACTAACATAATCTCTTGGGAAAAAAGCAATAATGAACCTTAAAATAATACAACCATAGGGATAGTTTTTAATTAACCAATTACTTTCGTTATGCCATTGACCCCATGTGAAACATTACGTTAGCCATGGCACTCTATAACTGAATATAAATTGAAGTATTAAATTGTAATTATCATAGTCTTGAACATAAACTGCTTTATACTAAATGAATGGACAGACATTTTTCATATCAATATTTTAATAATATTATAATAATTTGACACGTCCGCGCACAGCGTTCTGATCCCAAGTAGGCAGAGTCTATGGTAACTAGACTGCTGATGAACATCGATAATACCATTATAAATGTAAAAGTGAATTTCTTTGGGTTTTACGCTTTGCCTAAACCACTAAATCAAATTGAAAAATTATTTTAGCAATGTCATCATCATCGTCATCATCAACAGCCTTTAATAGTACACTGACCCAAATGTCCCTCCTCTTAATTCTGGGGGGAGGGAATTAAAGGGTGGTGACGCAGTTGTGTCTCTAGAGTTTCAGGTGCCCATAGGTGGCGGTAGTCACTTACCACCATGTCACTTACCAATCAAAAATCTCCTGAATGCTCAAGCTGTAATCCCTCATATTTACTATTTGGAACACTATTGAAATTAAACCTTTATAGGGATGGAATAAAATTAACAAAACAGATGTGCAAAATAATAATAATAATAATAATAATAATAAGCCCCCTAAAAATCCAACCACACGTCCTGATCGACCATCTGATCACGTGGGGGGCGGACACACGAAAGAGAAATTACTGGCGTGGCTAACGTGGCACTGGTAGGTAGGGATTAGAGTAGGCAGGCAGTAGAGCGACAAAATAGACGGTTAATTAAATGGGTAGATAGGTGGATAAGTTAATGGATAGGTAGGCTGGTAGACAATAGATAGGTAGTTAAGCAGGGAGGTAGGAATGTAAGGAGGGAAAACCCAAGCCAAGGTGGAACAGAATATGCCAAGGGCTGCGTGGCTAAGGGGGAGCTTAGTCGATAATATTCGAACTCTGAAGAAAGGGGGACCTTCAGTTTAAAGTACCCTTGCCGTGGTGAACGCGGGGCTATGCCGCGGTGGACCGTATATCCCCAGCTACTCGTGGGAACGAAATGATAAAAAATGCAAAATAAAACCAATAAGTATAATTTAAGGCCGCTACCCGGGGGTCGCCGGGACTCAATTAGAAATAATAATATTAATAACCAAACTGACAGACAGACTGACAATGACAATATTAGCTTAAATTCTTTGACATCGCTATCAGTAACTGAACCATATAGTCCCTCAACTAGCTCGTACAGACCTACACCGGTGTCTTTCGTGGATGAAGATTCACACGAAACACCGAATCCAACCTTAGCTGTTACGCAGGAGGTGAATGCCTTTTTACCTGCGTCCACTAAGAGTGGAAAACCTAGAGTACGCATGAGGTGGAGTAAAGAAGTGAACCTATTCATCATGCGTACGTACTACCAAATCACTAAATTAGAGACAGACATGACAACATATAGAAAACAATTACACGAACTTTTTACACGACACTATCCCGATATCAACGTTACTGAACAACGAATTGCCGATCAAAGAAGAACAATTGTTAGAAATAAACTACTAACCGAGGAAACACTACGCATATTAAAAGAAGAAATACGAATGCAACAACAGCAAAGTGAACACATCTACGAGTATATAGAAAATAATTCGAATCCTCAACTTCACAATACTCAATCAGTAACAACAGCATTACCTACACAGTCACAACCACACACAATCACACAATTTTCACAGATATCCACACAACCTGAGACTATAACTTTAACCCTTGAGAATGATATAGAGATTATGCAAAATGTTTACCCCTCATCAGATAATATACAAAAAATACAAGAAAAATTTAGAACAGCATTAGCGTTATATTCTAGAATGGATCCAATCACTCGACCAAAATTGCCTAAATTAAAGTACAGTAGGAAACTTAGTGAATTAACACACGTTTTTAATCATAACATACTACACCAATTTTTATCCGAAGATACACAATTAACAGATATTCATACCTTATTATACTGCACAGCGTTAGTTATAAGTGAAGAACTAAATTATAAAATAATAGATCACCCTAGAAATATACTAAGAAAGAATAATAAACCTCCATGGCAAATAAGACTAGAAAAAGACATTGAACAACTTAGAGCAGATTGCGGCAGACTTACCCAATATATCAACAACAACAGGTCAAACAAAATAGTTAAGAGAGTAGAACAAATTTTTAGAAGACAAAGTACTCACACTAGACACGAAAATAATAATAGAAAACCCGAAGAATACCTAGACACATTAAAACAAAAATTAGCACTTAAAGTACATCGACTGAAAAGATATAAAAAAGCACAACAGCGTAAAAATGACAACATGTTATTTACCCTCAATGAAAAATCATTTTATAGAAACCTATCGAAACCACAAACTGCTACAACTAGACCCGAAAACATAGACATTCCTACACAGACACAACTTGAAACATTTTGGTCAGGTATTTGGGAAGAACCGGTACAACACAATGATAAAGCAGACTGGATTACAGAAGAAGAAAATAAATGGAATTCAATAGAAGAAATGAAATTTGATTGTATTACAGAAGACGATATTGCACACGTAACAGGTAAACTACACAACTGGAAATCTCCTGGCATAGATAAAATACATAATTACTGGTACAAAAAGATAACATCATTTCACAAACCTATAGCCAAAAACTTAACATATATAATTCTGGGGAAACAGAATATACCTGAATTTATAGGTATGGGTATAACATATATGCTGCCAAAAACCGCACACTCACCACAGCCTTCTCAATACAGACCCATCACATGCTTACCTACTATATATAAAATTCTTACATCAGCAATAGCCCACAAAATTAATATGCACATTGAACACAATCACATAATAGCAGAAGAACAAAAAGGATGCAGGCGGGGACACATGGGATGCAAGGAGCAGCTGATCATAGACTCTACTATCCATAAACATGCTACTACAAAAAACAGAAACTTACACTGCACTTACATAGACTATAAGAAAGCGTTTGACAGCATCCCACATTCTTGGCTTATAAAAATTTTACACATCTATAAAATTAACCCTAAAATCACAGATTTTATGCGCGATATTATGAGCCATTGGAAAACCACATTACATCTAAATATGAATGATAGAACAGTCACGACCCGACAAATCTCTATAAAAAAAGGTATATATCAAGGTGATTCCTTGAGCCCCTTGTGGTTCTGCCTTGCCTTGAATCCCTTGTCTCATTTGCTGCA